CATTTGATAAAATCCAACACCCATACCTGATCAAAACTCTCAGCAAAATAGGAACAGAAGGGACATTCCTCAACATAGTAAAGGGCATCTATAAAAAACCAACAGTCAACATTATTCTCAATGGAGAGAGCCTGAAACCATTCCTCTTGAGAACAGGAACCACACAAGGATGCCCACTATCACCACTTCTATTTAACATCGTACTGGAAATCCTAGACAGGGCAATAAGGCAAGAAAGGGAAATCAAAGGCATCCAAATTGGTAAGGAAGAAGTCAAACTATCCCTACTTGCTGATGATATGATCCTACACCTAGAAAACCCAAAAGGATCAGTAAAAAATGTACTGGAACTAATTGAGAGATTTAGCATCATGGCAGGATACAAGAGCAACATCCAAAAATCAGTTGCATTCCTCTACACCAGCAAAGAGATTGCTGAAAAAGAAATAAGGAAATCAATACCATTTACAATGGCTACCGAAATAAAAATAAAAATACTTGGGAATAAATCTTACCAAGGACACAAAAGACCTATACAAACAAAACTACAAAACGCTACTTCAAGAAACCATAAGAGATCTACATAAATGGAAGAACATACCATGCTCATGGATAGGAAGACTGAGCATTGTGAAAATGTCAATTCTACCCAAAGCAATCTATACATTCAATGCAATCCCAATCCACATCCCATCAACATTCTTCAAGGATGTGAAAAAACCAATCACTAATTTTACACAAAAAGGAAAGAGACCTCAGAGAAGCAAAGCACTACTGAAGAAGAAGAACAAAGTATGAGGTCTCACACTGCCGGATCTCAAAACCTACTATAGAGCCACAGTAGTCCAAACTGCCTGGTATTGGTTTAATGACAGATACATAGACCAATGGAATAGAATTGAGAACCCAGAAATAGATCCATCCACCTATGGTCAGCTGATCTTTGACAAAGGGCCAAAATCCATTAAATGGGGAAGAGAATGTTTGTTTAATAAATGGTGCTGGCAAA